CCGTTTGGCGCCCCTAGTGTCGGTGACTGGGGCGGGCGCCCCACCCGACCTCCCCTAGCTACGCCTCTGCTACTAATGGAGTAAACCCAGCTTAAATGAGTTTTAAGTTCTAGTTGTCTGACCATAAAATACCACACACGGCTGAAACAAGCACTCTACTTCATCTGCCCAATCAACCACCTGTATCAGACTATGGTGCTAATTAATTCACACAACAAAGTTCCAATCAGCTCTACCGGTACCTCTGCTGCACACCCCGCCCACTTCACGCCCCTTACACACCATCATGAGGCGTGCCTAAGTGACCGTCACTAATTCATTGGTCAGGGTTTTTACATTTATGCTAAATGGGAAATGAATAATGCATGGTTAGCACTTGTGACGATGGACACGCTATTTCGTGAAACACAAAGTGAAGGGGGTTGTTAATTTGTCAGTGGTTCTGTCTTATGTCAGACATCAAATCCGTCCCGGCCAGGCCCTGCACTGGCCTCTGTGAAAAACCTATCTGTAAAGGACCATGACTTGTGTGTTTAGTAATCAGCATATGTCCGGCATTGCCAGGGTTTAGGAAATATATTACTTTTCGAACTAATCCTAACCACAACCAACCAAAACCAAAACACAAAAAAACGCAATTACAACACAAACGCAAACACAAATACAAACACATACGAAAATACAAACCCAACCACAAACACAAAGAAAACACAAACGCATACAGAAAAGCAAACGAAAGAAACCCAAATCCAAATGCGAACACAAACTCAACCACAAACGCAAACCCAAACACAAAGAAAACACAAACGCAAACATAAACGCAAAGTGCTCACAATCTAGCCAGGGGCGCAAAATCGCACCATACTGTGGCGCCGGCAGAACCGCCTGATTCAACTTAGTAAACGACTATAGTACCCAAACTTATCCATAGTTTTTTGCACTCACTTGAACGAACGTAGGCGCCATAGCTAACACGGGAATGTCCGGGGCGCCAAATAACAACCTGTCGGGGCTCCGGAGGACGCCCGGATTCGATTCAGTTAAAGAATATAGTAACCTTTCTTATCCATAGTCTATCGCACTGTTCAAAATGAAATTATGCACAATAGCGTTCACAGGATAGCTCAGGGTGCCAAATCGAACCATGCCGCGCCTGATTCAATTTAGTTAACGACTATAATACCCCAAGCTTATCCGCAAACGGAAAGATTGAAGTAAACCTAGAGGGCATTTAGGAGCTGGCTTCTAAACTGTTATAATTTACAAATAATATTTAATAAACAGTACGTTCAGTATAAAAAATAAATAAAAGGCAGTATTTAAAATATCTGTGTTTTACTTACCACATTTCACTCGATCAATCCACGCTAGTTATGTAATTATTTTTTTCCAACACCAAAACAAAGTAATAAAATAATCATTAAAAAAGTTTTAAAAAACCCACGTTTTCTGATTGAACTAAAAAGTAGAAAATAAATACTATACATCACAATAATGCAAGCGATCACTCTACTATAAGCGATCAAAAACGTGGGGCGCCGTGATTTTCTTACAGTTTCTAATACTGTTGACTCTCTACAAGCTCCCTAATAAAAGTCAATAGTATTATCTAATCAATAGTAATATAACTTTTACTTCGGCGCCCCACGTTTTTGATCGCTTATAGTAGAGTGATCGCTTGCATTATTGTGATGTATAGTATTTATTTTCTACTTTTTAGTTCAATCAGAAAACGTGGGTTTTTTAAAACTTTTTAATGATTATTATTTTCTACTTTTTAGTCTTTGTCTGTTTGTTTGCATTAAAATCTTGCTATCGATTTTATCTTTTCACTTTTTTTTGGGTAAACGAAGACAACTCGTAAAAAGACAACTCGTAAAAAGACAACTCGAAAAAAAATCGTTGTGTGAATACGTTACTGACTAGAACACATAGATTTGAACCCGTGTCGAGTGGGATAGCAATCGTGTGCCCAACCACTCGACCATATCGTCTCCCCCATACTGGCCTACCTCCTGTAAGTTTAAACTCGGTTGAAACTAAATTATCTGCCCCTAAGCCTGTGGCGACTTGGGATCGTTCGCTTCACTGCGCGCGAGGTACGCGTCGCTCGTTTTTTTTTCTAATGGCTCGCAGAGGAGAATTATATATATAGATTATATAGCGGTCTAAAATGCTCAATAAAATGTTTCCATTGATCAATTTAGTAATAATAACAATTGAATATTCAATGGTCATCCAAAAGAAAGCTTCCCTGAAAATTTCAGCGCGCTAGCTAACTGGGAAGTGCCAGAAATTTCGATCGCAAGATTTGATTGGAAAGACAAACACACAGAGAAAGCAAGTTAAAGAAAACGTGGGAAAAAGTAATTTTTTCCATGATGTATTGTAATTAAAGGGAAGTAATTGTGTTTTCTTAATTTATCAAGGGACGTAATGAGTGCTTACTGACTAAAAGTAAGTAGTTTTCAGACATAATTAGAACTTTTGTGAAGGGTGATACTTTTTCTTTAATTTTGTTTAATGCACATGCCGTCAATTAACACTATAAGTTTGGAAAATGAAACTTGTATAATAACACCTTCAATATAAATTTTTATAACTTTAATTTTCATGGTGAGCACTTTATATATTTCACACTATGGCGATCAAGTCTTTTTGTTTTTTGCTCTATTCATTTGTTGTTTTGAGTTTGCTCGCTGTGCGTCACATACATACAGAATTCAACTTTATATATTAAATATATATGCACATGTGTATTTCTCACATATATATATAAGGCATTATAAGGAGTGGCGTGTGTTTCAATGTGTGTTTATGCCTATGCATGTAGGTATATAATAGCAACAAATTCAACATATCGAAGGTTATGAGGATGATTTTGTCATTTTACTTAAGTTTTAATCATGTGAGACAAGTAGCGTAGCGAGGGGGGGGGGGGACATATGTCCCCGGGCGCCGACCTTAGGGGGCGCCAAAATGGGTTGGAAAAATTAATTGAAAGGTTGTGGGGGTACAAATCTTAAGTTTGAAGGGGGGTGCAAATCGAAATCTCGAGGGGGGGGGGTGCAAATCAAAAGTTTGAGGGGGGATGCAAATGGTAATCTCGAGGGGGGGTGGTGCAAATCGAAATCTCGCGGGGGGTGCAAATCGAAATCTCGAGGGGGGGGGGTGCAAATCGAAAAGTTTGTCCCCGGGCGCCGGGAAGGGTCGCTACGCCTCTGTGTGAGACCGGGTTAATAAGCGCGCTGTAACTGTAACACTATCCTAGATGTCACTCTTTGCTCAGTCGACTAAATCCTAGACCATCAACTAAAGACTGAGAACAATTTCCGAAGGAAAAAAATCAGTATAAAACAAAACTGATATGAAACGAAACCAACGACAATCTATCTGTGTTTAATAAAACACTCTCCACTGTTGTTATTTTTCATTTGACCAACTTGCAGATTTACAAATTTCACAATTTTGAGAACCTCTATCTTAAAAACGGAGTCTATTTTTTCCCCATGACTCTCCTGAAGTGAAGAGCCCAAAAGACAGAATCAATTTCACGGCTCATTAAGATCAAAGTCGTGAAATACAACACCCCTCCCCATTGACTCACTACAGTAGAATTCTAATCATCTCATTACATAGGCTATTATTACACTCGTTTGTGCTAGTTGTAATCTGTTTATGTGTAATTGGTACAGTTTCGTTTCTATGTAACCAGTTTCTTATTTTCTACTTGTTAGCATATGCTTGACTTACATTTGCTACTGGGGAAGTTAGCTGCTAGTACTGCTACAAATGTAGTGGTGTAGTTAAGATCTGGGGGAGGGAGGGTGACATGATATATGGTGGCTTAAGAAGAATTTTTTTTAGTGTGTATAGGGGGGTGGATTTAAGGTTTCACCATATTATAGCTTTCGTATACAGTATATGTATGTCATTCAGGTGTTACATGGTGTAAGATTTTTTTTTTAGTGTGTATAGGGGGGGTGGATTTAAGTTTCACCATATAGATTTCATATACAGTATATGTATGTCATTCAGGTGTTACATGGTGTCTTATTGATATATTTATATTGATGGCTTTATAATATATTTTGTAATATTTGTACATTTTTTATGAAAACCTTAGGTTTTCATGACTTTCTTAGAGCATTTTTTCCTTTTACTCAGAGACCCATTTTATTTTCAAGTTTCAAGACACTCCAATTTTAGTTATTTTTTAAAATCTACTTTAATTTTATAGTTAATATTAATGACCTTTATTTTAAAAGTTATTCATTTTAAACTGTTTTATTTTTATATTTTTCTTTCTGACCTATTTTATTTTCATAATTTTTCTGACAGTTTACACATTGCATGCCATCAAATAAGCAAATATAAGAGTGTAAAGGTGTAGTTCAACAATTAAATTCTTATATTTGACTGGATTAAAAACATGAACTTCCTGCATCTTGTTGACTGATGTTAACTCAATAAGAATTAGTTATCATATTTAGCAAGGATATTGTTATAACTGCTGAGTTGTATATGTATACCACAGTTATGCAGTGAGAGGGTAGATGTTACGCTGAGTGAGTGTCTTTGGTTATTTGATCCAATACCATTTTATCTTAATCACTACCATTTGATTATGTTTAGCTATGCTACAGTATATCTTGAGACACGACGACATCAACGCTCACGAAGGATTCGACAGAATAACATCGGTTACTAACTCTATTTATTGCACAATAGAAATGGACATCGGACAGCTTGGATAAACGATACTACAACTAGACAACCTAACTCTAACATAACACGGACAAGACTAACTTCAATCTTCTTCCCTGGCAACAACGAACTCACACTAAAACGTCACTTTCTTGCGTACAGCGTCACACACTCACTCGTTCAATATACGGCCGCACCATCAATCATGCGCACCCATTGCCCTAGTCAAACATGCATCATAACAGATATACCCTTACAATACAACAATACAGAATAAATGCAACACAAATACAAAACAATTTAAATTTTTAATTCTCTCTCAACTTTACATACATAAATGTTCTGAGATTAAACTTCCAAAGAAGTTATAGCCAATTCTTATAGTACAAAACTAACATATATCAACGGGACATAACTCACAAAACATTCAGTTATAGATAACTAAAAACTGTCAGTCAACTAGTCATAAGGGAGATAACCATTAGAATTGTTCTCCAACAGCTATATAAACTATGTTTTTAAGATAATAAAAAACCTGTACTTAGATTATTCTTACCACTTTACAATGTTAGCTGATCACTATGTATGTACATATTTAAATTAACCATAATTTTAAATCTAAATAAATTCACTCAACAAACTTCTTCCTAACCAGGTTTTCTGAACAAACCGTAAGCCCAAGTCTTATGTCTGATCTGTACCATATATCATCTCACAACAGCTTTCATTACACAACAATAACCACTAAATATGCCCAAAGCTTGGAAATTTGTTTCTCTACCTAGAGGTCAAAGTTGAGAACAGTTATAAATAAACTTGCTATAGTTGACAACCAACAGCTTGACCAATGAAAGAGCTTATCTGTCCACCTCTCCAAACACAATATCAAGGGTTCCTGGAAAACAAATTCAACTTATAAGCAGGTTATTCCTTTAGTTCAAAGTATTATTTCTACATTTACATCTCCATTCTACTTTGGGTGCATTAAAACATATAGCTTGGTAGGGCAAGGCTTCCACAATGGTAGGATATTTTTAAAGGGCTTTAACTACAGTGTTTGGCTTCGTTGGGCAAAGGTCAACAACTAGGAAGAATATGTTTAATACTTGAGTACACTCTGCAATGCTAAGCTGTGTAGGTATATTTGATTGCCTAGCATAGATAAATAACCTCAATATCTTGTCTTTAACTCTTTATCTAGAGTATTGAACATTTTTAAATACCCTCAAAGCTCGAGGCCAATTATCAACCCAATTTAAAAACTGTGAATATGATGAATTAACAAATCATCCATTTAACTATTTTAACAACCATACCAAATCATCTTTCAGTTCAGTTTATGAATTGTAAAGGAAATAAATTTGTACGACTAATCCTTCTGACTATTTCCTAGTAGGATTCAAACTCATATACTTACAGCTTTATAAAGATACTAACTACAGTTTAAACTTGGAGAATAACTTACCTATAATAGCCACTACATCAGCCAACATGTGTTTTCTGGACAATTTATCAAGGGCAGCCTGAGGAATAAACACATTGTTAACAATTTTTCTAACATGTTTTACAGTTCCTTAGTATACCACAGTAGCTTGTAGTTTACAAAACATAGGAAATAAACTTTATCTATATATATAATTCTCTTTATGGGGACTATGCAAGACTCTACTCAAATGCACGCCGTTACTCCCCCGCTCTCTAGGCATATAGCTACCACCCCCACCCCCACCGTTCTGGTGAGCTAAGGTTCACCCCAAATGTTTACAATCGAAGAGCCGGGTCGAATTAGTAACGGCTATTAGGGGCAGATAATTTAGCTTTTAAACAATTTGAAACTAAGGAGAGGTAAGAAGTTTTGCTTGATCTTTTCATTGCAGTCTGTAAACTGTCGTGAGGGATGGCTGCTTTCACATTGGCAGAGGGGGGGGGGGGGGGGGGGAGAGGATGTAGGGAAGGGAGGGTAGTGTCAAATTCACTAACTATGAAGTACTGAGAAGTAGAAAATAAAACAACTAAATAATAGCGGCATATAATACGCCGTGGGTCGGCTCAAGATGGAATATTTCAGATATGCTCAGTGACAGGGTTTATATATCTGTCTAAGATAAAATGTTAGATTTAGATGCAAAGTTAGATAAACCAGAGGAGTGCTATCCATGGTCTACTAGTCTTATCCCCCCCCCCCCCCCCCCCCCCCCATGAGTCTCAAGTAATACAACATGAATTAAATTGGTGGCATGTGATGTTGTGGAAGTGGTAGATTAGACCACTGCCGTGGCAGTTGCAGGTTTGTGGCAATTGTAAGGTTCGTAGCCCAATGTACCTTTTTTGTTTTTTTTTTCTTTTCATAGCTTCCCCCAGACACCCCCCCCCCCCCCAGCTGTAAATTGCACCGTACACAGCAGAGTTGAGAATGAGAATTCCATCCCCTGTTAAGGGGTTAAAACTTACTGGCTGAGAAAGCTGCACCCGGTACATTTAATAACAAATTATATAAGTCACTGAAGTGGGAAATATTACATTCAATTCAAATGTCTGACACTGCTTCAGTGTTTTGTGTACACATTAGCTGGGATTGTGTAATTAAACCTTGTTCACATTTTGTGAATGATTATATAATTCTTTGGTGAGGTTTCATAAGAATAACAAGTGGTAAAAAATTTTTTTTAAAACTCTGTAAAATATGACTTCCATCACATCATAGATTTATTGTTATTAAGCAAAAAAGATTATGCAGTTTTTGTTTCATGTACAATATAAACAAGTTAATAAAAAGTCTAGTGACAATTTAAGCGCAATTTCCTTAATTAATTTTTTGTGACCGAACGAAAGGATATTTTTGAAAACTTTCTTCTGCAATATTGTTCTAAATTATGGCAGGAATCGATTGATAAATGTTTCAAGTTGCTAAGTGGTCTGGTTGCCGAGATATGGGCCAAAAACTGCATTTTTTCGAGGTTTTTTGGCTTTTCCGGGAAATCCAGGAAGGAATTCCGGGAATTTTTTTGGCCCACAATCATCCTTGGAACTTGCTTAACATATTGACTTTTGGAACTAGTCCTCGATATTGCTTCGTTGAGGAGGAGATACGACTTAAAGCGCGGACACACATCCATCCCTATACGAGTTAATAATCGCAATTGCCAGTATGGAAATTGCGCTAAAAAATAACAGTAAAATTTCATGTAAAAAATGTTATGACTGAGAGGTCAAAGGTTATCTCTGTATAAAACTATACTCACCAAATGGGCAAATCCTGGGGCTTTAATCTTACACCTGTAGGGTTTGTTGGTGCCATCTGATACAAGGTAGACTCCAAACTCACCCTGGCAATACAGACATTCATTCAATATTAGATAACTACAATTTGTGTGTGGGGGGGGGGGGGGGGGGGCGGAGGGAGGGAGGGGGAGCATATTTTATTTTTTAGAATGTGCAGTTATTTAGATGGGTTTTTTTTTTTTATAAAAAGATTTCTTAATAATGACACCTAATAAATATCCCACAAGGAAATTTTAGGAATGAGATTATTGATCTGCCATGTTACTTGGCAATGGATACAGAATGCAATAAAATATGCATAATAGAAAAATGATCTATTGATTATCTGATATCTCTGAGATGAGGACTGCCATGATACTTGTCTTAAAACCAACATGATTGATACAACATACAAGATAACAAATGCATCTATATACATGATTCTCTTCTGGGAGACGCTAGAAAACAAGCTGTAAACGTGCTCCCTACCACCCCCACCCCTACATAGTCTGGTGAGCTGTGGTTCACTCTAAATGTTTACAGAGCCGGGTTTAGTGACGACTATTAGGGGCAGATAATTTAGTTTGAAACGGTTTTAAACGTAGGGGGGTGGGGGGGGGGGGGGGGTAACTAAGTGGAGTTTACTTTAACAGAGGGGTGGAGGGAAGGAGGGGGGGTTATCGTCCTTAACGATCTACTTATAGTGTTTTAAAGAAATATTTTCAGAGGCAGCGTTGGTAGTGTGGAATTCACAAATTATGAATAACTGAAAAGTAGAAAAAAACTAAATAGCGGCGTATGATATGCCGCGGGTCGGCTTGTAATAGATAATGATCTAAGAATTAACCAGTCTTTCTGAGATGGGGACTGCCATTTAGCTTGTCTTAAATCCCTAGCAGATAGACAGCATGTCTGTAACTTACTTTGGGAGCTTCCACTGCAGCATATGTGGTGCCTGGGGGTACCTGGAAACCTTCTGTAAACAGCTTGAAGTGGTGGATCAAAGCTTCCATAGAGTCCTGGTAGAATTACAGGATTGTAAATTTTGATTTTAAAAAAATCTATTTTAACTATACTTAGACTTAATACATGTAAAGGAAACTAAACAGAAATGGGAAAAAAAATTGGAAAACAACAGACAAATGTGAAAACATATCATGTCAATGGGTTGATGTTTAGATACTATGATGTCGTCATCATGTTAACCATTTTAACCAATCATCCAGTAGTTTTTAAAAATCCACAGTACAGGAATCTGAAGCCTCTTAATCTAAACAGGTCTTAAGGGTAGTTAAACTGATGTGAGGTGGAGATGTATTACAAGAATTGTATTTTTAAAACTGACTAACGCTTATGTCTATCGCACATACATCAACACACGTTATGTTTAGTTTAACTTTAAAAATTAGAAAGGGCAGTTTATTTATTATCATGATAATGTCTGCATGAGCAGACAACTGAACCATAGTCCTATTTATTTTCAGATCTTCATGAAACAATCTTTTCATGAACACGAAGCAGAAGCTATCAGTTTCTATGATATATATGTATGACATATATCCAAGGCAGGTACCCATCAAAGCTGAATTAACTCTACAATGTCTGTCCTACAGACTTAAGCCTATGAAGTGTACAAGAGAGTTTCATGCTAACTATCACAGAGTTGAAGAAACAAACCACAGGCCTTCATTTCAGCTCTACCATTTGACCAATCAAACCCCAATATAATTCCCAAAAACAAAATTCAACAACATTGCCCAAAGGCCTTAAATTCCAGACCTTCATTTTAGCTCTACCATTTGACCACTCCAATACCCAATACATCCAAAAACAAAAGTCCCAGATTTAAAGAAACAAATCCCAGACCTTTATTTCCGCTCTACCATTTGACCACAATATCCCTCTTACATCCAAAAACAAAAGTCCCAGATTTAAAGAAACAAATCCCAGACCTTTATTTCCGCTCTACCATTTGACCACACTATCCCTCTTACATCCAAAAACAAAAATCCTAGAGTTAAAGAAACAAATCACAGACCTTCATTTCAGCTCTACCATTTGACCAATCAAACCCCAATATAATTCCCAAAAACAAAATTCAACAACATTGCCCAAAGGCGTTAAATTCCAGACCTTCATTTTAGCTCTACCATTTGACCACTCCAATACCCAATACATCCAAAAACAAAAGTCCCAGATTTAAAGAAACAAATCCCAGACCTTTATTTCCGCTCTACCATTTGACCACACTATCCCTCTTACATCCAAAAACAAAAATCCCAGAGTTAAAGAAACAAATCACAGACCTTTATTTCAGTTCTACCATTTGACCACTCCAATACCCAATACATACAAAAACAAAAGTCACAGAGTTAAAGAAACAAATCCCAGACCTTCATTTCAGCTCTACCATTTGACCACAATATCCCTCTTACATCCAAAAACAATAGTCCCAGAGTTAAAGAAACAAAAGTCCCAGAGTTAAAGAAACAAGTCCCAGACCTTCATTTCCGCTCTACCATTTGACCACAATATCCCTCTTACATCCAAAAACAATAGTCCCAGAGTTAAAGAAACAAAAGTCCCAGAGTTAAAGAAACAAGTCCCAGACCTTCATTTCAGCTCTACCATTTGACCACAATATCCCTCTTACATCCAAAAACTAAAGTCCCATAGTTAAAGAAACAAATTCCAGACCTTCATTTCAGCTCTACCCTTTGACCACTCCAATACCCAATACATCCAAAAACAAAAGTCCCAGAGTTAAAGAAACAAAAGTCCCAGAGTTAAAGAAACAAGTCCCAGACCTTCATTTCCGCTCTACCATTTGACCACAATATCCCTCTTACATCCAAAAACAATAGTCCCAGAGTTAAAGAAACAAAAGTCCCAGAGTTAAAGAAACAAGTCCCAGACCTTCATTTCCGCTCTACCATTTGACCACAATATCCCTCTTACATCCAAAAACAATAGTCCCAGAGTTAAAGAAACAAAAGTCCCAGAGTTAAAGAAACAAGTCCCAGGCCCTCATTTCCGCTATACCATTTGACCACAATATCCCTCTTACATCCAAAAACAATAGTCCCAGAGTTAAAGAAACAAAAGTCCCAGAGTTAAAGAAACAAGTCCCAGACCTTCATTTCAGCTCTACCATTTGACCACAATATCCCTCTTACATCCAAAAACAATAGTCCCAGAGTTAAAGAAACAAAAGTCCCAGAGTTAAAGAAACAAGTCCCAGACCTTCATTTCCGTTCTACCATTTGACCACAATATCCCTCTTACATCCAAAAACAATAGTCCCAGAGTTAAAGAAACAAAAGTCCCAGAGTTAAAGAAACAAGTCCCAGACCTTCATTTCAGCTCTACCATTTGACCACAATATCCCTCTTACATCCAAAAACAAAAGTCCCAGAGTTAAAGAAACAAATCCCAGACTTTCATTTCAGCTCTACCATTTGACCACCCTAATACCCAATACATCCAAAAACAAAAGTCCCATAGTTAAAGAAACAAATTCCAGACCTTCATTTCAGCTCTACCATTTGACCACTCCAATACCCAATACATCCAAAAACAAAAGTCCCAGAGTTAAAGAAACAAAAGTCCCAGAGTTAAAGAAACAAGTCCCAGACCTTCATTTCCGCTCTACCATTTGACCACAATATCCCTCTTACATCCAAAAACAATAGTCCCAGAGTTAAAGAAACAAAAGTCCCAGAGTTAAAGAAACAAGTCCCAGGCCTTCATTTCCGCTATACCATTTGACCACAATATCCCTCTTACATCCAAAAACAATAGTCCCAGAGTTAAAGAAACAAAAGTCCCAGAGTTAAAGAAACAAGTCCCAGGCCTTCATTTCAGCTCTACCATTTGACCACAATATCCCTCTTACATCCAAAAACAATAGTCCCAGAGTTAAAGAAACAAAAGTCCCAGAGTTAAAGAAACAAATCCCAGACCTTCATTTCAGCTCTACCATTTGACCACAATATCCCTCTTACATCCAAAAACAATAGTCCCAGAGTTAAAGAAACAAAAGTCCCAGAGTTAAAGAAACAAGTCCCAGACCTTCATTTCCGCTCTACCATTTGACCACAATATCCCTCTTACATCCAAAAACAAAAGTCCCAGAGTTAAAGAAACAAAAGTCCCAGAGTTAAAGAAACAAAAGTCCCAGAGTTAAAGAAACAAGTCCCAGACCTTCATTTCCGCTCTACCATTTGACCACAATATCCCTCTTACATCCAAAAACAAAAGTCCCAGAGTTAAAGAAACAAAAGTCCCAGAGTTAAAGAAACAAAAGTCCCAGAGTTAAAGAAACAAGTCCCAGACCTTCATTTCCGCTCTACCATTTGACCACAATATCCCTCTTACATCCAAAAACAATAGTCCCAGAGTTAAAGAAACAAAAGTCCCAGAGTTAAAGAAACAAGTCCCAGACCTTCATTTCCGCTCTACCATTTGACCACAATATCCCTCTTACATCCAAAAACAATAGTCCCAGAGTTAAAGAAACAAAAGTCCCAGAGTTAAAGAAACAAGTCCCAGGCCCTCATTTCCGCTATACCATTTGACCACAATATCCCTCTTACATCCAAAAACAATAGTCCCAGAGTTAAAGAAACAAAAGTCCCAGAGTTAAAGAAACAAGTCCCAGACCTTCATTTCAGCTCTACCATTTGACCACAATATCCCTCTTACATCCAAAAACAATAGTCCCAGAGTTAAAGAAACAAAAGTCCCAGAGTTAAAGAAACAAGTCCCAGACCTTCATTTCCGTTCTACCATTTGACCACAATATCCCTCTTACATCCAAAAACAATAGTCCCAGAGTTAAAGAAACAAAAGTCCCAGAGTTAAAGAAACAAGTCCCAGACCTTCATTTCAGCTCTACCATTTGACCACAATATCCCTCTTACATCCAAAAACAAAAGTCCCAGAGTTAAAGAAACAAATCCCAGGCCCTCATTTCCGCTATACCATTTGACCACAATATCCCTCTTACATCCAAAAACAATAGTCCCAGAGTTAAAGAAACAAATTCCAGACCTTCATTTCAGCTCTACCATTTGACCACTCCAATACCCAATACATCCAAAAACAAAAGTCCCAGAGTTAAAGAAACAAAAGTCCCAGAGTTAAAGAAACAAGTCCCAGACCTTCATTTCCGCTCTACCATTTGACCACAATATCCCTCTTACATCCAAAAACAATAGTCCCAGAGTTAAAGAAACAAAAGTCCCAGAGTTAAAGAAACAAGTCCCAGGCCTTCATTTCCGCTATACCATTTGACCACAATATCCCTCTTACATCCAAAAACAATAGTCCCAGAGTTAAAGAAACAAAAGTCCCAGAGTTAAAGAAACAAGTCCCAGGCCTTCATTTCAGCTCTACCATTTGACCACAATATCCCTCTTACATCCAAAAACAATAGTCCCAGAGTTAAAGAAACAAAAGTCCCAGAGTTAAAGAAACAAATCCCAGACCTTCATTTCAGCTCTACCATTTGACCACAATATCCCTCTTACATCCAAAAACAATAGTCCCAGAGTTAAAGAAACAAAAGTCCCAGAGTTAAAGAAACAAGTCCCAGACCTTCATTTCCGCTCTACCATTTGACCACAATATCCCTCTTACATCCAAAAACAAAAGTCCCAGAGTTAAAGAAACAAAAGTCCCAGAGTTAAAGAAACAAAAGTCCCAGAGTTAAAGAAACAAGTCCCAGACCTTCATTTCAGCTCTACCATTTGACCACAATATCCCTCTTACATCCAAAAACAATAGTCCCAGAGTTAAAGAAACAAAAGTCCCAGAGTTAAAGAAACAAGTCCCAGACCTTCATGTCCGCTCTACCATTTGACCACAATATCCCTCTTACATCCAAAAACAAAAGTCCCAGAGTTAAAGAAACAAAAGTCCCAGAGTTAAAGAAACAAAAGTCCCAGAGTTAAAGAAACAAGTCCCAGACCTTCATTTCAGCTCTACCATTTGACCACAATATCCCTCTTACATCCAAAAACAAAAGTCCCAGAGTTAAAGAAACAAATCCCAGACTTTCATTTCAGCTCTACCATTTGACCACCCTAATACCCAATACATCCAAAAACAAAAGTCCCATAGTTAAAGAAACAAATTCCAGACCTTCATTTCAGCTCTACCCTTTGACCACTCCAATACCCAATACATCCAAAAACAAAAGTCCCAGAGTTAAAGAAACAAAAGTCCCAGAGTTAAAGAAACAAGTCCCAGACCTTCATTTCCGCTCTACCATTTGACCACAATATCCCTCTTACATCCAAAAACAATAGTCCCAGAGTTAAAGAAACAAAAGTCCCAGAGTTAAAGAAACAAGTCCCAGACCTTCATTTCCGCTCTACCATTTGACCACAATATCCCTCTTACATCCAAAAACAATAGTCCCAGAGTTAAAGAAACAAAAGTCCCAGAGTTAAAGAAACAAGTCCCAGGCCCTCATTTCCGCTATACCATTTGACCACAATATCCCTCTTACATCCAAAAACAATAGTCCCAGAGTTAAAGAAACAAAAGTCCCAGAGTTAAAGAAACAAGTCCCAGACCTTCATTTCAGCTCTACCATTTGACCACAATATCCCTCTTACATCCAAAAACAATAGTCCCAGAGTTAAAGAAACAAAAGTCCCAGAGTTAAAGAAACAAGTCCCAGACCTTCATTTCCGTTCTACCATTTGACCACAATATCCCTCTTACATCCAAAAACAATAGTCCCAGAGTTAAAGAAACAAAAGTCCCAGAGTTAAAGAAACAAGTCCCAGACCTTCATTTCAGCTCTACCATTTGACCACAATATCCCTCTTACATCCAAAAACAAAAGTCCCAGAGTTAAAGAAACAAATCCCAGACTTTCATTTCAGCTCTACCATTTGACCACCCTAATACCCAATACATCCAAAAACAAAAGTCCCATAGTTAAAGAAACAAATTCCAGACCTTCATTTCAGCTCTACCATTTGACCACTCCAATACCCAATACATCCAAAAACAAAAGTCCCAGAGTTAAAGAAACAAAAGTCCCAGAGTTAAAGAAACAAGTCCCAGACCTTCATTTCCGCTCTACCATTTGACCACAATATCCCTCTTACATCCAAAAACAATAGTCCCAGAGTTAAAGAAACAAAAGTCCCAGAGTTAAAGAAACAAGTCCCAGGCCTTCATTTCCGCTATACCATTTGACCACAATATCCCTCTTACATCCAAAAACAATAGTCCCAGAGTTAAAGAAACAAAAGTCCCAGAGTTAAAGAAACAAGTCCCAGGCCTTCATTTCAGCTCTACCATTTGACCACAATATCCCTCTTACATCCAAAAACAATAGTCCCAGAGTAAAGGAAACAAAAGTCCCAGAGTTAAAGAAACAAATCCCAGACCTTCATTTCAGCTCTACCATTTGACCACAATATCCCTCTTACATCCAAAAACAATAGTCCCAGAGTTAAAGAAACAAAAGTCCCAGAGTTAAAGAAACAAGTCCCAGACCTTCATTTCCGCTCTACCATTTGACCACAATATCCCTCTTACATCCAAAAACAATAGTCCCAGAGTTAAAGAAACAAAAGTCCCAGAGTTAAAGAAACAAGTCCCAGACCTTCATTTCAGCTCTACCATTTGACCACAATATCCCTCTTACATCCAAAAACAATAGTCCCAGAGTTAAAGAAACAAAAGTCCCAGAGTTAAAGAAACAAGTCCCAGACCTTCATGTCCGCTCTACCATTTGACCACAATATCCCTCTTACATCCAAAAACAAAAGTCCCAGAGTTAAAGAAACAAAAGTCCCAGAGTTAAAGAAACAAAAGTCCCAGAGTTTAAAAAACAAAAGTCCCATAGTTAAAGAAACAAATCCCAGACCTTCATTTCAGCTCTACCATTTGACCACACTATCCCTCTTACATCCAAAAACAAAAGTCCCAGAGTTAAAGAAACAAATCCCAGACCTTCATTTCAGCTCTACCATTTGACCACTCCAATACCCAATACATCTAAAAACAAAAGTCCCAGAGTTAAAGAAACAAATCCCAGACTTTCATTTCAGCTCTACCATTTGACCACTCCAATACCCAATACATCTAAAAACAAAAGTCCCAGAGTTAAAGAAACAAGTCCCAGACTTTCATTTCAGCTCTACCATTTGACCACTCCAATACCCAATACATCTAAAAACAAAAGTCCCAAAGTTAAAGAAACAAAAGTCCCAGAGTTAAAGAAACAAGTTCCAGACCTTCATTTCAGCTCTACCATTTGACCACAATATCCCTCTTACATCCAAAAACAAAAGTCCCAGAGTTAAAGAAACAAAAGTCCCAGAGTTAAAGAAAGAAAAGTCCCAGAGTTTAAAAAACAAAAGTCCCAGAGTTAAAGAAACAAATCCCAGACCTTCATTTCAGCTCTACCATTTGACCACACTATCCCTCTTACATCCAAAAACAAAAGTCCCAGAGTTAAAGAAACAAATCCCAGACCTTCATTTCAGCTCTACCATTTGACCACTCCAATACCCAATACATCTAAAAACAAAAGTCCCAGAGTTAAAGAAACAAATCCCAGACCTTCATTTCAGCTCTACCATTTGACCACTCCAATACCCAATACATCTAAAAACAAAAGTCCCAGAGTTAAAGAAACAAATCCCAGACCTTCATTTCAGCTCTACCATTTGACCACACTATCCCTCTTACATCCAAAAACAAAAGTCCCAGAGTTAAAGAAACAAATCCCAGACCTTCATTTCAGCTCTACTGGGTGGTGTGACCTTGTTGTCATCTGTCTTGATCTCTCCCTGGGGCATCTTGTTCATGCACTGCAGGATAATCCTCAAGCTCTGCCTCATCTCCTCCATACGAATCAAATACCTGCAGACAGCCATACACTAGCTTCAAACATTTGGACACAAAACAAAACAGTTATCAATGAGACTACGAGTTTAAATACAAAAGCAGTTTCAAATTGGAGTCATCTGAGTGTATGGTGCATATCAAGTTGGCACGTAATACTTAAGTGTGGTTGAGGGGAATTTCCGTTCAACATAACACTTTAGAACAAAAAACAAGTAGATGAAGTTAAAATACTTGATGAAATAATCATCTGTAGTCTATGAAACTACTAGTTAAACATAATGAAGTAATAATCAGTTACATAACTTTGAGAGCATAGCAGTTAATACATAATGCAGTAATAATTGTTGATGATGAACAGAGTAATAGAAATAATTAGTTATAAAGTAAGTAACATTGTTTTTGGTTCAACTAAGGCTTTGGAAGTACAAGAAAAAAAAGCAGGCTGAATTTGGAGTCAACAGGACATATATTATATATGGAGAATAACTTGTCACGTAAGATTATATGTTGGTGGAAATTACCCAAAATAATACAATTAAGAAGAAAAAGGAACTAAATAAAACAATATTTGGTTCTCATAAAGTTATCAGATTAATATCAGTTATCAGTTAGTTTTGTATAATATTTTACGAGCATTTATTTTCACAAGGATCAGAGTTATTGTTAAAGCCTTGGTTAGGGGATCTAAAATAAATGGCTATGAATACAATATATCATGACTTGTGTATAAAAAAGGATCCAAAGTAAACTAATGATTTTATTCACAATGTCATATTTGTGATAAAGTGTCATAAATATGGTTCCCTTGACAATGTCACATATATCAAACATGTTATACTTGTCAAAATATATCACACTTGCAAGCAAGATAGTCATACTTGTCACATTCTGACATGCCTATGACATTCTGACACACCTGTGACATTCTGACACGCCTGTGACATTCTGACATGCCTGTGACATTCTGACATGCCTGTGACATTCTGACACACCTGTGACATTCTGACACACCTGTGACATTCTGACACACCTGTGACATTCTGACACACCTGTCACATTCTGACACACCTGTCACATTCTGACACACCTGTCACATTCTGACATACCTGTCATAACAATCTCCTCTGTTCCCTACAGGCACATCAAAGTCAACCTCTGCATAGGAATCATAGGGCTGAACCTTACGAAGATCCCATTTAATTCCTGACCCACGCAGCATCACACCACTGAAAGAGAAATGGCAAAATACAGTTAACATTTCATCACACACTCAAACTACAACTAAATCTGAAAGATCAGTAAAACATTTCTTCTTGTGGACAGAAAAAAATTGTTTTCCTTCACATTATTAAGCTATCTAAATTAAATGTTTTTTCCTTTTACAAAATATGTACTAAAATTTTGAAGACACTGCTCAGAAACGCATCAAAGTATTCTGATGAGCATTAATTTAATGCTCATAAAATTAGATCAAAATATTCTGAGGACAATGCTCATAATAATATATTTCAAATTCTTAAGACAATGTTCATAAAGATATTTCAAAATATTCAGAAGACAACGCTAACACAAATATTTCAAATATTCTTAAGAAACTGCTATCACAAATAGATCAAAGTATTCTGAAGACAGTTCTTAATGGTATAATGATGAAAAAAATAAAAAGTTCCTGCATTTACACTGAAATACTACTCTCTATCTTATCTCAAAACAAAAAGTTGTATATCCACTTTTCATATTGCTATTTGTGTTCCACCCCACATTCTCCACATCACAATGCTATCATGTTGGGCATGAGGATAAGGCTTCAAAACAAAGCAAATCTATATAGGATAATTTTTATCATGTAGGAAATCAAGTACCCTGTTGTTGACTCACACAGCTAACATGATGCCAACATTAAGTAGGAAACAAATGATGTGTCCCTACCTGAAGCCGTAGTTAAGAGCGTCCTCTGCTGAGATGACACCAATGTTAACAGTCCTAGCCTTCCAGATCCTGTTCTCTGTTAAAAGGTCGTCCACCTCGTCCAGCCTCTGGCCAAACTTGCAGGCCCACTCGTAGATGTCTTCCATCAGACCAAGGGGCATGTCCTAAAACAAGAGCAACAATATTTTTAAATTACTCGTTTAGATACATGAACAAAATCTATATAAATCTAGAAAATCTTTAACTCTTAAAGACCGGCATTATTTTCACATTTCACAGGAATTATTTTTTTCAAGTACCCGTGCAGCAAAATGACTTGTATTATTTTCCCAAAAGTTTATATATAAATTTCAATTGAAAGCCCCACAAACTAATATTAATTTTATATAATGAATTATTTATTGAAGAAAGTAAATCAGTTTTAAATAAGCAAAATTAATGTTAAACTTTTCACAGGGAAATAATACTCTTCTGCTGGGAATGATAAAAATTATTTTTAGTAACCTCCCATTCATAGAGGTGGGACGGAGTGGTCTAACAGTAGAGAGCTGGACTGCTAACCCGTAAGTCTCAAGTTCGAATCCGGGTTCAAGTTAGTAGACCGTCCCCGAGTCCACCCAACTCTGAAGGGTACCTAACTCAAGTGAGGGAAAGTAAAGGCGGCTGGGCATAGTGCTGACCACACTATCTCTTCATATGCCGAGGTCACAGAAACAAGTGAACTCTACTTCACTTGCTCCATAGACCGTCAGGTTTGAAAGGGAAACTTTACTTTACTTTTACTTATTCGTAGAGAATCAAAGTGTGTCTATTTTTAATCCTAAATTTCCCTAAAACAATGTTTTAACAAACTAATTTGAATAAATACTGACCAGAGTTACACCACCAGGTCGGTAATAGGCAGCGTGGAGACGAGCCCCAGACACTCTTTCATAGAACTCCATCAACTGTAACAGACAGAGAGTTACATACTCAAAGCATGGAAAAAAAGGAATTATTAAAAACTAACACACAATGCAAATTTTGGCTGCTGTTGTCGTTTGGTCAATTTCTTTCGTTAAAAAAATCCAGCACCAACAGCATTAAATGTATAACATGCTGCACACCAGCTCTCAGTTACATACAATTTTACATATACTGTATGGAGGTGACAGTGGTAGTATATCAGAAAAAAAAAAAACAGGCAACAACGCGCTTTCCCAAGATCCTGTTTTAACTCAATTTTTTCTTTTGCTTTATACTTTTTGTATACATTTTTGTTGTAATCAATCAAAATGGAACAAATCTGTGGCCATATCTCTTATCGTTTTATATATTCAGAAAATCCATTCCACCAAGTACTTAATATAAAAATTATAATGAAAACAAATGTTTAAAGGCGTTAATAATTTTAAACACTGGAGTTTAAACAGTCTGGTTCTGGGGCAATGAACTTTCTAAACTAGTACCAGACTAAATGGGCATTGGTGACCTTCAGTTTTAGCTTTCACCTACCATAAGACCAGTTTTAGCTTTCACCCACAATAAGACATGAATAAATCTTGTACTGGGGTAGTGTTGACATTAACCCTTTACATACCAAACTTAAATAAACAGATTAACCCAATGACCACCAGATTTGTATGGGATCTTGACTACTTCTTGCCTAGCCTGTGGTCATTATTCACAGAAATAGTTACGATATACGTAGAGGATTTCTTTCAGCAATTTTCCTATTCCAACCCTCCCCTCACCCAACGTTGAAGAGATGCCTGAAAGAAACAAGTTTCATGAAGTATGTAATGAAGATTTACCTTTTCTCTCTCCTCAAACAGCCAGAAAAGTGGTGTCATGGCACCAATGTCCAGGGCATGACTTCCAATAGACATGATGTGGTTCAAGACGCGGGTAATTTCACCAAACAGTGCTAAAACAAAACAGTGGTACACATTCAAAACAAGTAAAACAAACAGAAAATTTGTTTAACATTTTAGTCATACTGCATAAGTCTCCAGGGAATAACTAAGCACTGAAAACACATGTAAAATTGAAGCAGGCTGACATGTAGAGTGTATAGAGGACTAATGCAGTACGACCACTTTTTTTGTGAAATTGATGTACATTTCTACTTATATTGTCATTGATACAAGTACAAGAACACTCATGTCAGAAAAGTAGAATGCAAACATTTTATGAATTTTTAATCATACTATTTTGCACTATTTTAATATTGAAATTGAGATTTATAAACTCATTTTTCCACGAGATTATGTTTGTTGGACATATAGCATTTGTCCTCAATACACTCAATGTGACACATCTGTGACACCCATGTTGCAGTGACCTTAAGAGAACAGAGAAAGCAAAAAGGTTTTCACCACTTGTAACAGAAAACACTCCAATCACAAATCATTCAATCTATATTACTATATATATAATTCTCTTCTTGGATATCCTCGAAAACACCAAGCTGTAAGCGCGCCTAGCTGCCCCCTCTCTTCCTCTCTAGGCATATCCCTACCACTCCCACATGGTCTGGTGAGCTGTGGTTCACGCTAAATGTTTACAATTGTAGAGCCCTATTAAGGGCAGGTAATTTAGTTTGAAAAACGATTTTAAACTTAGGGGAGGTAACTAAGAGGAGGCTGCTTTCACGGAGGGGGTGTAGGATAGGGGTTGGGGGAAAGGAGGGTGGGGGGGGGGTTATCGTCCTTAATGACCTACTGATAGTGTTTTAAAGCAAATATTTTCAGTGGCAGCATTGTTACTGTCGAATTCACAAATTATGAATTACTGAAAAGTAGAAAATAAAACAAATAAATAGCGGCATATGATACGCCACAGGTCGGTTCGTATGAATTACAAGAGTTGTTTTAAAATATTATTAAAAACCAGTACTTAAATCTGATGAGGGAAAATAATTATTTCTTGACATCCTCTTTAACTGTTCAACTGTTGGTAATTTGATTAAATATCTATCCCTTTCGAACATCTAGTCAACTCTGATCTTATTTTTGGCTGAGCTATCTAACAGTTCATCCATTGGACTTTTGATTCAATATCGTAACCTGTAGAATTTCTTGCCAACTCTGTTACTATTTTTTGAGGATCTATTAATTCTATTGTACTTTTCAACTTACTTCTGATCATCTTAGCTTCTTGTCAACTCTGTTACTATTTTTTGAGGATCTATTAATTCTATTGTACTGTTCAACTTATTTCTGATCATCCTAGCTTCTTGTCAACTCTGTTACTATTTTTTGAGGATCTATTAATTCTATTGTACTTTTCAACTTACTTCTGATCATCTTAGCCCTGGGGGGCACCTGAATGTTCAGCAACTTTTCAATGGCTAGACAATAAGCCTGTTCACTGCACATCATGGACACATAGTCAAGTCGGTCGAAATAGGGTAAAGCCTGATAAAAAAAAACATTAAGTAGCTCAATATTTCAAATAACCGTGAAAACAGCAATACATTTAGTCATTATTGAAATTTGGTGGTAAACTACATTTAAAACTTTAAAGAGAAATATGGTTTAAGTATGCAGAATAATAAGCTTTTATTAGTTTTAAATATTGCCTCTTCTATTTAACTGAAGAAGCAACTGAGTATCTTTATAATCATGTATATGTCACTTGTTAAATAAAATGATAGTTAAGTGTTGTAAGCAGAGGAGGTCAGAGTTCAGCTTGCTTGTAGTTGTAGTCTGTGTGTTTTGGCTTGGGCTAGAGTAGTGGTGGCACAGGAAAGTTTCATTTTTGTGAGGCCAGCTGAATTAGATTGTTCACACTTCTATGTGCTTGCTTCTGTTCTCTTCTTCTAAATTCCGTTTGCGCCCAAGACCAATGGGGCAAATGAAGGGATAGTGTGGTCAGCACTATGCCCAGCTGCCTTTGTTTCCCCATAACGTTAGTTAGGTGCCCATCAGAGCTGGGTGGACTCAGGGACGTTCCACTGATCAAACCCGGATTCTAACTCAAGACTCTTGGTTTAGCAGTCTAGCTCTCTACCACTAGGCCACACCATCCCATATGCTAGTGAGATCAATTGGTACCAAAATTGGACTGGTGACCTTGAATCCCATCTGGCTATACTGTTCTATTTTCATGGTTGAGTAAATCATAGTCAGTACATTGGTTTGTTCATTAACTCTTCCCGTTTGTGTCAGAATCACATGGGGCAGATAAAGTAGAGTTCATCTGTTTCAGTGTCAGCACTATGCCCAGCTGCCTTTACTTTCCCTAACGTGAGATAGGTACCCATCAGAGATGGGTGGACTCAGGGACATTCTACTGACTTGAACCCTGATTTGAACTCAAGACTTTTGGGTTAGCAGTCTAGCTCACAACTACTATGCCATGTCAATTAGTTTCATTAAGGTATTGAAATTACACTGTTTGTTGAATATTGCTAGAACATTAGCATAAACCAACTCAGTAACAGACCTGTGTGTAAGTTTTGTACTCTATCAGCTTCTCTGTGCCCCTGTGCAGTAGTCCAATGTGAGGGTCAGCCCTGAGCACCGACTCACCACTGAGGGTGAGTACAAGTCGCAGCACACCATGGGCGGCGGGGTGCTGGGGGCCAAAGTTCAACACGATATTTTGTATCCTCCCGTCTGGCTCGGGCACTCTCACTAAAACAGATGAGCATTTGTAAGTCATACGTCTAAGTCACTAATAACATACATTTTTTTTTAAACTGTAATATACGATAAATTGCAGTTTAGGCTACTGGCAAGTTTCACTACAGCATACACTACAGCTACAATTAAAGACGAATTACATACATATTTTATTTATGTATTAAAATTAAGTTGTTTTTTTTTTACAAAATTGTATAGCAACTATACCACCCCTGATTAAATTCTGTACTGACCATAACATTAATCCAAAAAATCTAGGTGTTATAATGTAAGGAACAATTTGTCTTTTATCTAATTCTAAAAATGTCTTCAGATCAAACCTTATCACTAACCCTAATCCCAAACCATAATGCCTAACCCTAAAAAAAGAAAAATAAATAGAGTCAAAAGGAATAGAACCCAAGGCATGCAAACAAGATGCCTGATGCACAACCACATTGACCACCGGAGCAATTAACACAACATAGCAAGACTATATATTTTAACAATAATGATTGATTGGCTAAATATAGCAATTATGAAATAGAGTGTGGAGGCTGTTCAAAGTGAACTACGAATAGACACTCTCAATTTAAATGGCCAGTATACCAGATAACAATACTTCGAGCCCAGGCTATACAAGTGTGTGTATAATGTAAGCAACATCCCAAGTACAACTTACAGTCATAAGGGGGCAGTTTCATTTCTCTATCAGCAAACTCAGGGTAGAACAATGGGTGTTTGTAATCCTTGTAGTAGTCTTTATCAGGGTACCAGACTTCATGTGATTGGCTGTAATTTAAAAAAAAAAAAAAAAGCAAACTTAAAAAATATTAGCCATTTAATTTTTTAAATTAATTTAACTTAATTGAAGCACAACAGGTTGAGGTCAATTTATAAGCTCAACTATAAGTAAACAAAACCAAACTTTAACAAAGAAACATGATCTTACATCTTTAACTACTAAACCAAAAGAAAATAATTGTTGTATACATGACCACCAACAAAGCAATCATGAGATTTATAACAGTTAAATGTTTATGAATGAATGTTGGGAGTGTGTGTGTTAAAAAAAAGGCGAATTGGATTCAGGGAGACAGTGGGGTGGTACGCATGCGCGGGAGGAAGGAAGGGAGGCAAGAAGATGACGAGGTCTGAGTGAATATGATGCCTGTGTGAAACAAAATAAAATATGAAAACTTGCAAGAAGAAGGCTTGACTTTTGTTTTTCGTATGTATATTATAAAGGGTAGGGAAAAGGCCTGTGACAAGATTGCATTTACTAATGCTATTAGTAAGTCAGATAAACTTTTACTGTTCTTAATGTACTTTTTAAAATTAACCATAATCAAGAAAACACAACATAATTAGTGAATGAAATAGGTCTTGAATTGTGAATGTAATCATGAATTATTGAATAATTTTATCAATAAAAAATTAATGGAACCTTGTAAAACAATGCTAGATTTTATAAGTTTATTTAAATTGTGCATTACTTCTTTTCATCAGTATAGGCGTAAAGATTTTAATTTAAGGTGCACTCCTGAAAGTAAAACAATTAGAATAGAACAGTCTGATAGAGAGTATTCAACTAATCACCCAAGAAACTAAACAATGGCCTAATTTAAAATATGGAATATTATAAAAATTATTTATACGAGTATATGATGAGCAGTTTCAGCTTTTATTTTTAATTAAAACAATTTCTGTCTATTGGAATAAAGGGCTTCTGACTTTATTAGTAAGATTAGCTTAGTCATAGATCATCATCAGACATAGTGTCATATAGAACCTAAGTTAGACCAGATCTAGGACTAGAATACCAAAGTATTAACTATGTCTAGTCAAATAAAGTCACCATTAGTGATTTGACTAGGCTAGATTAGCCTAATCATTAGGCCAGGGGTCTCCAAACTACGGCATCCAGCCCGCCAAGTCCTCTCATCCGGCCCGCGGAGATCTTTTCGTCCAAGGAAAAATCGTTTGTTAGTGATGGTTGAGAAACTTTGCCCAGAAAAATCAAAGACATGCCTGGAAGAAATTGGCCCCCGAACTGAAATTTGATTGATAGTTAATGCGGCGCTCGGACTGAAAAGTTTGGAGACCCCTGCTGTAGGCTAATAGTTTTTTAATTGCACATCCAATTGTTTATTGATAAATTGTAGGCTAAAGTTACAGTTTTAAATTAGTTTAAGGCTAATGCTGCTAAATTATGCGGCTAATAGTAGTCTTGTTTTTGTGATATTTCCATCTACCCTTAGATCTAATAGGCGAAAAAAAAGTTAATCTTTAGTTTGACTTGAGGCATTGCTGCTAAAAAACAAACTAGGTCTAGTTTTTATTTTCGAAGTGACTGCTCTGAAAAAGATCTTTTCCACAAGCGCTATCTGGCCGGCAAATGATGCAAAACGCAATGACCTAATTATCTGCGCAATGGGCTCAAATTAAATTAAATACTATTAATAGCTGCACAGTGGACTTATTTTATTCTATTATAGCTGCACAATAGGATCAATTACTCTTTTAGCTTTATTCTTCTGACAAAACTATCTGTACCATGTAGTCTAGCAGTTGCGCTTCGGGCGGGTCTTCAGGGGTTGAGGGATTATAGTATATAGTATTTATAGCCAGCAAAGAGTTCGTCTTTTTCATGTCTTCTTATGAATTATTGGTAGATCTAGGCCTAATGAAAATAATCTAGAATTGAGTCTAGCTAGACCTAGACATCTTGATCTATAATTTAAATAAAAAATAAAATGATGTTGTTGGGACTATGTTGTACACTGAGTTGAGTGACATACTATGATTCTATGATACTACTACTACTGTACTTACTATTACTACTACTTAGTACTGTACGCTTAAAAAGCTAATTAAATGAAGACACAGGGTAGGTCAAAAGTAAAACAATTTTAAATTTAGACTTTTACTAGAAACTAGAACATAGATATAAAATCTCGTCTAAAATAGTCTAAATCAAGATTGGATTTAGTATTTTAGATGTAGATCTAAAATTCTAAATCAGTCTTAGAATATCTAGATCTAGATCTAAATCAGTCTTAGAATATCTAGATCTATACGTCTAGTAATATAGATCTAGATCTAGATCTAGTATTTTTACTAGATCTAGAAATCTAGATCTAGATCTAGAGAGAAATCTAATCTAGATTCAAATTTATTTTAGTTTGTTTTGGTTACACAACAATCTGGCAAAGGCCGCAAGTAAGACATCACAAGGGCAAACCTACATAATTATTTTACAATATATTATAAGGCAACTTCATGCACACAAATCAGATTTAGCATAAAACATAAAGAAATTACCGAATCGCCGTGCAAACAGGGCCATAATTTAGCGTTGATCGTTTTAATAAACCAACAGTAGCAACTTTTTTTAGCACAGACCCTAGAGCGGCCATCTTGATAGGTACTGTTGAAGAGGCAGCTGGTTTGATTTTAGAAAACTGTTTCCTGTATATTTGATCTTAGTGCACATTACACTTGATTCCGTCTAAGCCTAGTTTCTAGACCCGCGCTTTTATTTTTAGTTTATTATTTTAGTTCATTAATATATTTAAAGAAAATCATTTGTTTCTCATTTTTAGTGCATTATTATATAAAAGCTTGTTATTACATTTTTTTTATAAATTATTGTTTATTATTAAAACTGTTAATACAAACCTCCAAACAATTGCGAACAAAATGAACACGAAAAATGTGCGTATAAGTATAATATCACAGAAAATAGTAATTTATATTGAGAATTTTAATTGATTTAAAAAAATTAATTAAGTCAAATTTGATGTCAGATTGAATTACCATCGGCTGATCTTGACCCACGTGCCAAGTTTCAAACGTAGTGGTCGAAATTTCGCTCGTCAGTTTCGATCCATGACGAAGTACGACAGACTGAGGAAGCAAGTTAAATAAAAGCTTGTTAAAATGCATTAAAAATGTTTGAATAGCATGCCTTTATGTAATAATCCACTAAAAAGGAGAAAATAATTTATTTTCTTTAAATATATTGTAATAATAATCTACTATCTAAATAACTATAAATAAAAGCGTTGGTCGTATAATAGTACGTAGTAGTTGGAAAAGTCTGCATATTAATTTTTTTTTAATTTAATTAATTCATAAAAAAATGAATTAGGCATCCAATTAAAATCAAATTTGATGCCAGATTGCATTTTCTTCAAGTCTTGACCCATGTGTCAACTTCGAAACGAAGTGCCCGAAATTTTGCTTGCCCGTTTCGATCTATGACGGCCGACAGACAAAGAAAGCAAGTTAAAATAAAAGGATGTTAAAACAGTGATCTATAATACTTACATTTAGCCATTTTTTAAAAAACATTTAAAAGAGATCGAGTTCCGATCAATATACATAATAATTGCCCGTTTATACGAAGTACAACTAGAGAGTTTCTTCCAAGCATCTCTTCGCGGTGGATGGGGGGGGGCCGTGCCCCCCCCCCTCGCCGCGCTAACGTATATATATATATATATATATATATATATATATATATATATATATATATATATATATATATATATATTTATTTATTTATTTATTTATATATAATATGTGTTTGTATGTGTGTGTGGGCGTGTATAGTGTATAGTCTATAACCATTTCTAACAGTAGCCAATGTCAATTCTTATTAAGACGTGCACTTACGATTTTTACTTTCTCGTATATACGAAGTATAGAGAAAGTCTTGTAATCGTGCAAAAAAAAAAAATCTTTTTTTTTTGTTTCTAATTAAATAAGTTTCTAATTTTGGATCCTTCTGATGGCACATTTAAATGTCAATGTTTAAAACTATTGAATTAAAAAAAAACTGTTTGAGGACTGTAATAGATCAGTAGCGTAGCGAGGGGGGGGGGGGGCGGGGGGGGGGACATATGTTCCCGGGCGCCGACCTTAGGGGGCGCCAAAATGGGTTGGAAAGATAAATTGAAAGGTTGAGGGTGGTGTAAATCGAAAGTTTGAGGGGGGTGCAAATGGAAAACTCGAGGGGGGGGGGTGCAAATCGAAAGTTTGAGGGGGAGGGGTTGCAAATGGAAATCTCGAGGGGGAGGTGCAAATCGAAAAGTTTGTCCCCGGGCGCCGGGAAGGGTTGCTACGCCTCTGATAGATATAGATGTTTGAAAGGGAAGAATGTTTGCTCTGATGTGTCTCGTTGCAATAACATAATTTTTCCGATTGCTTAAAATTTGTATCATTTTAATTCTCTGTAATCACAAATTTATTTCAGCTGTACTTAAAAACCCAATTTCACCCCGTCCCGTCCCCCCCCCCCCCCCACCCACCACGCCGGGGGAGAAAAAATCCCTTGAATCATTATTTAATTACACATTTGAATTTTCAGGTTGGTTTTTTTTTTTTATTTTTTTTTTTTTATATTTAGACGTTTTGTATTAGATCAATGTATAAGTAAACCATCTTAAATGAATGAAAGTAGGCTACAAGTAAGAAAGAAATATTACTATTGTTAATCTGTATCAGTCCTCATAAGCCGGTGATGAAAACTAATACTAAATAAAACTCTACTTTAACGACAATACAGTCACAATAAAAAAAAAAAATTTATAATTTGTGGATCATCCAAGTACATCAGGGGTCGGCAACCTTATGAGACGGAAGAGCCAAAAGTTCCAATTTACAAAAGTTTCCTGTTTTACTGGACCTCCAAATATTTTAATTTGCCCTTGAGCTCTGTCGAGTTATTACTTCACAAAAGTTTGTTTTTCAAATCCAGCGATTTCATGTGAAGCGAACCAGCATCAATTCTAAAAGCTCAGTATTGATCTAATTTGTTTTTTTTCTGTTGAGATGATCTACTATAAACGTCAGAGTACTTGCATTATTTGAATAGCTCTAATCTCCCAGGAATCCACCAGTCATTTTATTTAGAGTAATGCTGAAGCAGTGGCGTAGCGAGGTCGGGTGTCACCCGGTGCGGCATTTAATGGTGTCACCCCCCCCCCCCTCAAGTTTTTGATTTGCACCCCCCCCCCCCCGTCAAGTTTTTCTCTATATATTTTGCTATTTTTTGCCTTGGTGTCACCCCCCTAAATGGTGTCACCCGGTGCGGTCCGCACCCCCCCCCGCCCCCCCCCCCTCGCTACGCCTCTGTGCTGAAGCAATTCATGTCAATAGTAGCATTGGTTTCATCATATTTTTTCAGACTTTTCGAAATTAAGTATATCGCTCTCCGTGTCTTCAACGAAAGCAAGTAATTTTTTTTCGAAACAATCCACTTTATCTCGTTTAGTTTCTATGTAATATCCACCATGAAGTTGAATGCTTCAATTCGGGATGGACAATTTAATAGGAAGTACATAGAAAAAGGGAGTAACTAAAATATTCTAATAGAATAGCGAGTGTTTAGTGTTTATATTCATTATCATATCGTTCTTTACCGAGTGTTGAAGACTAATATTATTATGAGTTATAAAAATAAAATAATTATTAATATGTGTGCATGGAGCGGTCTCACAACGTTCATCCGATAGCCATCAAACTTCAGGGACTTGATTAAAACACTCCAGGGAAGGTTTCTGTAAAAAAATCTTTTTTTTTTAAATTTCGCAAGGGCGGCAACACGGGATGGTGTGATTTTTCTCTATATACGGTATATAAAAAATAAAAGACTATTGCGGGTTCCACTCAGTTTTATCCGGGTGCCATAAAACTTTAGGGAGTTGATGAATACTCCCGAGAAGGTTTCTGGGGTGGGAGGGGGGTGGGGTGGGTGGGTGGGGTGGTGGCGGAGGGGGATTTAAATTTGCATGGGCGGCCCCCCGGCAAGAATCGATTTGGCGCCCTGGTCTTTCCCGACAGCGCTATGGCGACTACGTTCGGTCTAAACAGTGTGATAGACTATGGATAGGATAAGGCGTTACCATCGCTCACTAAATTGAATCAGGCGTGTCCTCTGGCGCCCTGGTAAGGTGCGATTAGGCTTCAAATAAAAATGTCTGTTTCGGCCCCCCAAAGGCTCACATTGGCCGCTGAGGGCCATGTAATACGTTTTATTTTAATAATCAGAAAAATTGGTTAATTAGATTATTAACTGGGATGTTTCTTTTTGTCCGTAAAAAAATCCAAACAGTTTCGTCACTTTGCGAATGATGCAATTAGCATCTATTTTTAGATAATCCAATCAGAAATTGAGATCGAGCATCTAATAATAGACCATTAGTAACGCTAACATATTACATCAATCACACTGATGTTTAAAACACGTCAGATAATTTTGCAATCTGCATCATTGTTAACAGGATGCTATTTAGCATGATGGCGCCTTTTAGTTTTAAGGAGCCAGGGGTCGTACGCCGCGGCTAAGCAGTAGTGTAATTGGGGGGGAGGGGGGGGAAGGGGGCTCCCGAGAGCGCCCCTCTACGTCTTTGACACATGGGCGGTCACCGAAGTGTGTTCTACCATATTATTTCAGTGAGTGATTAATGTACACTCAAGGTTTTCATACGGTAGTGTAGGTAAACCAGTGTCCCGATATTTATGATCCAAGCGCAGGCATTGTTTACATTTACATAACTCACTTTTAGAGAACAAGGTTACGTGTCTAAGAATATAGGATTGGTAACGCATGGATAAAACCCTTTTTATATATTTCTTCGGACTTTCTTCTATTCCCGCGGCATCGCGCGGAGACCGGCAGAGGCGTAGCGACCCCTTCCCGGCGCCCGGGGACAAACTTTTCGATTTGCACCCCCCACTCAAACTTTCGATTTGCACCTCCCCCCCCCCCCTCAAACTTTCGATTTGCACCCCCCTCAACCTTTCTATTTATTTTTCCAACCCATTTTGGCGCCCCCTACGGTCGGCGCCCGGGGACATATTCCCCCCCCCCCCCACCACCCCCCCCCATTGCTACGCTACTGGAGACCGGTACGCTAGTAAGAATATAGCATCTTAGTAGGTTTAGAAGAGCTCGAGTTGTTTTTTTTCTTTTTCAAAAGAGGTTTAGATAAGGGGAGTTAGAAATGCACATCCATGTTTCTTTTTTTTTTCTCCGGGGGTGGGGGGGCACTTGATATTTCCGAGGTGGGGGATGGGAACGGACTAAATTTACCGGGGAGGGGGGGGGGGGACGGACACTGGTAAAAGTATGTTTTTTGTGGGGGGGTGGGGGGGGCGTGATGAGATGCCTGGAAGAAATTCTGGCATTGATTACTACCACGATCTTCGCTGTAGGGCACAAGTCACTCACATGAAAAAAAAATCTTTGAAGAAAAAGTTTTCCATTGCATTTTTATATAGGTCTAGTCGATCATAAGAAACAGCTGTCAATAAACATCGCCTGATGTTAAGCCGTTAAGTTTTCCGTTGTTCCTAAATAGGTCAAGGTGAAAGGCAACGCACTTTTTTTTTAATAATAAAATATACACCAAGGGTGTCGCCAATGTAGAGCACGCGAGCCCCCTCCCTCGACTCCTCCCCACCCCTTCTCTTCTCGAGAAAAGACAAACCCTTTCCAAAACCATGTTATTTATTTATTTATTTTTTGCCAAAGACAAGACCGTCACATACTATAGGTTTTTAGACCGATTTACATTACTCATACCTTGTTTTTCTTCCACAATAACATGTGAAAAAAAATTAATTTAACTTGAAAATGAAACAGCTGTCAGCGTTACTATGTAGAACAAAATAAAAAAAAACGGTTAAAAAAAGTTATTTTGTTAAAATTGAAAAACGTAATTTTTAAGCTGATTATACATATTGTAAAGAAATGAAAAAAAAAATCCATATGTATAGAATTACTGCACAAAAGTTATTTCTAATACCATGTAGCGTCTCTCGGGGGGGGGGGGGGGGGGGGGGGGATGGGGAGACACGTCCACCCCCCTCTCCCAGAATAAAATAAAAAATACATAACACATAAAAATATATACTATACTTTAACTAGCGTTCGCCTTCCCTTCCCGGAAAATTGAAGTGCCACCACTGGTAATCTTAAGAGCCCCCCCCCCTCCCCCCTGGAGAACCATGTATGTCAAATAGTTCTCATCGTGTGATGCCAACACAATCGTATGTGTTCATTACGTCATGATTGAACAAACTCTTGACGTCACTGCCGTTTGTTACTCTGACGTCACACAGCCGACTGTAACTCTGACGTCACACTGCCGATTGACATTCTGACGCCATATCCAAGTATTTACAAGTCTTTAATGCCAAGTGTTCTTATAATTGGCACTATCGTGTCTTTAAAAAAATTCACTACTAAAACACACTAGCAACAGGAATAAATTGCAAATATTAAGACAACTTATTTTTTTTTAAAGTTTAAAAACAAAGCTATAACAATAAATATCTATGGTTACTTTAATCATCTGATCATTACTGTTTTTTTTTATTTTTTTAAAAATATAATAAACCTCTGAGAACGAACGTTTCGCTCTACGAACATATCAGCTTACGAACATTACAGATTAAAGACTTTCAAGGTTTGAGCCATTTAGGTGACCAATATTTCATGTCTCGAACAAATTAGGTTAGTACGTTCCAGCTTACGAATTTTTTTTGTTACGAATGTTTCATGACACGAATGTTTCTTGTTACGAACGACAATTAAAAAAAAAACGTGGGTGTTGAAGACACCCACTCATACCCATTACATCACACTGGTATCTAAACTAGTTTTAACGTTAACGCAAATCCAACATTAACTCTAAATACTAGTCTAGCTCTAAACGTATTCGCCGCTATTCCGTAAACTCTTAAAATGGTAATTTGTAAGCCCGGTTTACCTGACTTGAAAGTAATCAGATTAATCGGAAAATTTAGTCTGCAACAGATTTTTGTTAAAAATCGTGGAAACTGCTTTAACCTTCAACGAGTGATTTAATTGGCCACAGCCCACAGCGATAAAATTAATGCGAGCGCAGTCAGGCGGTAGGTTTTTTCTGCTTCATGTATAATAGCCCGAGATAAAAATAGCTCCGACTAAAAGACTCACTACAATATGGCTCCAGTCAATAGGGTTCCTGGATTTATTTATTTTTGGCAGAATACACTTCTACAAGATATCACTAATGTGTTTTCTTTCTAATAGGGCTGGTAAGTAGGTCACCAACCAGTTCTACAGCTCAATAAAACCTATATGAGCCATAGAACTGGTTGGTGACCTACTTACCAGCCCTATAGCATTGGATTGTAATTTTTTTTAATGCGCAAAACTGTATGAGATTTTTTTTTATGATGCTAATCATGTGTGGCAATTTAAAAAAAAAAAAAACAAGCTTTTAAATGAAACGAAAATAAGAAAGTAAAACACACTTTTCTTGATGACATAAAAACTATATTTGCATATTAGCTGAGATCTTTACCCCCTCACCTTTTCTTTTCTTCACAAAAAAAGTAAAAGTTTAGTTTAGGGCGCTGGAGACGCAGAGTATGCGTGGTCGGGTTGTAGAGCTCTCGACTCGTAGGTCTCGAGTTCGGATCTTTGACTCTAGCGGGTTTGACGTCCATGAGTTCTTCAAGCTCAGACGGCAACCTGGCTAACGTTAGGGAAATTTGTGGCTGCTGGGCATAGTGCTGACCACACTTTCTCTTTATATACCGTGGTCAAGAAAAAGATGAACTCCGTTTCATTTGCCCTTTGGATCATCTGTTCAGGACGGAGACTATTAGTTTACTTAGGAGCTGAAAGTCTTAATGAAAATACCGTTGATTAATTAATCTTTAGGTAACAGTTTCCTGAAGTTATATTTTCGTAGGGGGAGGGGGTACTGTGTAACTTTATTTTACGGGAGAGTGTTAGGGTGTGGCCTTTAGTAACGACGTTGGCGAAATAGATTTTGGGAAAGAAATCGTCTTTAACAACCAAAGTCTTTTATGGAAGATTTCAAATTCCAAACTTAAGATGATTGAAAATTTTTTGCTGCAGTGAGTTAAAAAAAAACACGTTGTCTTAAGACTTTAGAGTCAGGTTTAAAAAACATCACTATTTATTGACTTCGGAGGGTTCACATCGTAATTAAACATCTCGAAATCAACTCTAAATTTTTCTTGAATCGCTTTAATGTACTCTACAGGTACACTGCTGTACGCTTCAATGAGATACGATCTTTTTTGTTTGATGGCGTCCTCTTCCCTGAGCGGATTCGATCTCACACTTTTTGTTAATAGCGTTAAAATTTTGTGTTCAGAATAATCATCTAGATCTTCGGGGAAAAGGAAAGTCGGTCTAATATGACCGTTGGTTTGAAAAACTTTCCACAATCTTCTGGATAAGTCTTTCTGTGATAAACATTTATGGAGAGAGTTGTCTCTGTATAGCTGGTAATAGTTTGAAAGTATTGACTCGATTTCTATCACAGTAAAATTGACAAAGTCGAGGCCGTCTAAAAGCCAGCTGTAGTTGAAACGTTTTAAAATTTCTTGCGCATCTCGCGAAAACGTTTCCATCTTTCCGATGAAGTCCGGGTTGAACTCGCACGGGTTGCAAGCGGCAGCCACCGTGCTCATGTGGTTGTCGTCTGACGTCATCGCGAACGCCAGGAACTGCGTGAAAGTGACGTTGTTGTGGCAGATATTGGAGGAGAATTCCAACCGCTCCCAAAAATCTGGTAAGTAGTATTTATCCAAGTAAACGCTCCACAATCGCGCGTAGGGATCTCTGGCGAACATTAACTTCTTAGACGTCACCGGAAGTTGCGGTTTAACCTCGGCCCAGGTTCGAATCGGGGTCAACGACCTGTTGTGAACGTCTATCCGCTTGATGTCAAACGGCGATTGGAACTTTCGGCTCCACTCCGTCTGGTTGAGGAAGTTAAAAACACGTGCCCAGAACGTGCATCCGGCCTTGGCCACATGACAGTACACCATGCTCATCCGGCTGTCGTAGAAGATCGACCAGGCGCTCACGTTGGTTCCCAAGTTCAAGGCCCAGTGGGACTCACACGCATGGTGAGCGCTTAACTTCCGGTTTTGGAAAATATCCTCAATCGTGTCCGGAGATGAGAACTGGAAACAAAAATTAATGTTTAACAAACGCTATCGTTATAGTAATGAAAACTGCTGAAAAATATAAAAGAAACAAAAATTAATGTTTAACAAACGTTATTGTTAGAGTCTTTTAAAAACTATTTTAGACAGTTAATTTTGGCTTTATCAAAGGTGGCAATCTTTATAGTAATGTAATAAGCAATCTGTGTAGTAATTATAAGTAAGTATAGGGGACAGATGGCTCAAAAAGCGAAATCAAAACACCTTGCTTGGATTTGTTCGTGTTTACAGCAAATCATTTGCATAATCCGAGGATTAAACATTCCACTTTTATGATCACTACCTTGGAAATTAAAATTGCTTTTATTTTTTTATGTGAAAAAAGTTATATAAGAAATTTTTTGTTTGACATATTTCTTTGTAAATATTTTTTTTTTCGTTCGACAATTTTCTCCCAGCTTCATTTATGTTATCTCCCCTTCCGTGTAAGTGTCCGCTTCACGTTTCACAACGGCATCAACGGTCTGTTTTGTTTACTTTTTGTGTGGTCTTTTTATCCTCTACGACCCTAAGTCAATTTTCAACAGTATACAAATGTTTAGAAGGTTGTGTGCGAAAGGTTAAAAGTTCAGGATCTATGGTGTGGGGAATGGGGCGGGGGGGGGGGGGGTTCAAGGAGCCAAGGAATGCAGAAAGAAATAAGGTGAGGGTGTGCGTATTTGAGTGTATGTGTATGTTTATAATTATGTATGTATGTATGTGTAGGTGTATAATTGTATGTTTGTGTATGTGTGTATATGTGGGGAGCCGGACGTTTTCCCGAAAGACACTTGCCCGAATGCCGTTTGCCCGAAGGCCGATTTCCCGAATGGACACTTGCCCGAATTAGACAAATGCCCGAATGGACACTTGCCCGAATGCGACAAATGCCCGAATGGACACTTGCCCGAATGGGACAAATGCCCGAATGGACACTTGCCCGAATGCGACAAATGCCCGAATGCCACTTGCCCGAAGGCCGTTTTCCCGAAAAATGTTAATATTGGAAAATAAATAATATTACCAAGTAGACATTCTCAATCAATTCAAGTTTGAAATTTTGATAATAAATACAATTCTTAGCATAAAAACAAAGTTTTTTTTTTTAATTTAGCTTTAATTTTTTTTAAACTCAGAAATTGCTGTAAAACAACTTTTTTCTTTAATAAATATAAGGTGATGTTGGCGGCGGTATCGCTACATTCTTTTGATGAATGTTTTAAACACCTTGTTTAGCCGAAGTGTTGCGGTGGTTATACAGCGCTTAGGACACGGTGTGGGCGGCGCGGCGTCTCGCAACATTGAACAGAGGCGCGTTTGTTTGTTTAACTTGTTATGCTTAACTTGTGTGGTGATCATTTCACAACAGAACTAGGCGCGGTCTAGGCGGTGAATTTAAAAACTAAAGGTAGTCAATTATGTCTTATCTCCATTTAATTCACCTTGTTTAGACATTGTGTTGAAGCGATTACTTAATAAAGAAAGCAAAAGTCATTTTAAAATCCTCAGATAAACGAAAATGGTATTTTTATTTCGTGTTGTTTCATGAATAGGAAAGAAAATTATATTTTTACACTTTTTATATAGCAAATACAAATTAATTAAGAATGTCTGCCTGGTAATATATAACATTATTTTATTCTTTTCTTTTTGTTTAGATATGTATTGTTTACTAAAATTTCAAATTTAAATTGATTACAAATGATTAATTGGTAATATATAATGTTAACATTTTTCGGGCAAACGGCCTTCGGGCAAGTGGCATTCGGGCATTTGTCGCATTCGAGCAAGTGTCCATTCGGGCATTTGTCGCATTCGGGCAAGTGTCTATTCGGGCATTTGTCGCATTCGGGCAAGTGTCCATTCGGGCATTTGTCCCATTCGGGCAAGTGTCCATTCGGGCATTTGTCGCATTCGGGCAAGTGTCCATTCGGGCATTTGTCGCATTCGGGCAAGTGTCCATTCGGGAAATCGGCCTTCGGGCAAACGGCATTCGGGCAAGTGTCTTTCGGGAATTTGTCGTAGACCCATATGTGTGTATGTGTAGATGCCTTTTTGTGTGTAATATTAATCTTTGAAGATGTGTTTTAAGAAAATCTTTTTCGTGGAGCCAAATTGCGCCTGGTTCGTTATAAAATTAGTAAACTATAAAATCAGTGCACTCTTATACGAAGGATCAAAATCCAAATCTACAACTAATAACTATAAAGCTTTTTTTTTTTTTTTAAAAATCTCTCAATCGATGATAGGGATCTACTATTTGTCAAAGATTAAATACAAAATCGATACTTGGTAGTCGCTGGTCACTGATTCGAATCGATACGTTCACAAACTGTCACACCTAGGGCGTGGGTCTAAGACCCCTTCACCATTTCAAACACTTCCTATCGATTACACGCCGTTTATTGCTAAATATAAAAGTACTCAGGACTCTCGCAGTTAATACGCTTGTTATTAGTCCAATGATTTTAGAGATTACGAAAGTTTTAAGGATGCTAAAACATATGTTAATAAATATATATGTCTAGGCCTATATATATTATACTAGCCGTCCCGGCCAGGCCCTGCTCTGGCTTCTGTGAAAAACGTTTCTGTAAAAGACCATTACCTGTGTGTTTAGTAATCATCATAAACCCGGCATTGCCCACCCAAACCACAACCAACCAAAACCAAAACAACAAAACGCAAACATAACGCTAACACAATTACAAATACAAAAACGAAAACAAAAACCTAACAACAAACCCAACCTTAACCACAAACACCAATACAAACACAAAGAAAAAAAACAAACAAAAAAGCAAACGAAAACAAAAACCTAACAACAAACCCAACCACAACCACAAACACCAACACAAACCCAAAGAGAAAAACACAAACGAAAAAGCAAACGAAAACAAACCAAATCCAAACGCAAAACCAACCACAAACACAAATACAAACACAAACCCAAAGAAAAAAACACAAACGAAAACGAAAAAAGAAAGAACAAAAACGAACCAAATCAAAACGCAACCACTAATGCAAACCCAACCTAAACACAAAGAAAACACTAAAGCGAACATAAACGCAAAGTGCTCACAGTCTAGCCCGGGGCGGAATCGCCTGTATCAGCTTAATAAACGACTATAGTACCCCAACTTATTTATAGTCTTTTGCACTCACTTTAACGAACGTAGGCGCCAAACCGAACACGGGAGGCCCGGGGCCCCAAATAGCACCCTGTCTGGGCGCCAGAGGACGCACCCTGACGTAACCGCCTGATTCAACTTAGTAAACGACTATAGTACATAACTTATTCATAGTCTTTTGAACTCACGCGAACGTAGGTACCATAGCGTACACGGGAAGGCCCGGGGCGCCAAATAGCACCCTGTCGGGGTGCCGGAGGACGCCCGGATTTGATTCACTTGAAGACTATAGTAACCTTTCTTATCCATAGTCTATCGCACTGTTTAAAACGAAATTATGCAGCATAGCGCTCACATGATAGGCCAGGGCGCCAAATGGAACCGTGCAGGGGCGCCGGCGGACGCGCCTATTTCAATTTAGTGAACAAAATTATAATACTCCAAGCTTATCCGTAAATGGAAAGAAATAAACATATAGGATTTGTAGGACCTGGCTTATTACACGTTATTGATTTTAAAAAATAATTAGTGAACAGTATGTTCAGTGTATAGAATCAATAAAAGGCAGTATTAAAAATACCAACGACATTGCAATTAATCAATCCCCGCTAATTATGTAATTTTTTTTTCTTAACACCAAAACAAAGTAATAAAAAGTAAATTCTTTCTTCCCCGATTAAATTGTTTTTTTTAAAGGGAACTAACTGTGCAGTCAATACATTACAGACACAATTTTAGACATTTTTTTAAACGTTGATACACTTTTTCAAAATTTAATGTAATGTTCATAATTGAAAATTATTATTCTAAGTATATAAAATGAAAATTGTTTTTAAAGACTTTCAATAGTAACTTTTTAACTCATAAATTTAGACTATGAGCACGATAAAAATCTAACACTTAAATCCATTGAAGTATCCACGACAAACAAATTTATTTTTATAAACAAATATTTTACATACAGAATTAAACTTTATATATTAGATATTTGTATATACATTTATGTATTTATAAATTTTTATTTAGTAATGTATAGGCAAAACACATTATTACCATTTTGAAATTCATTTTGATTTTTAAGCTGTTAGTAAACAAATTCATATTTTTTAAATAATTTTAAAATATAAAAAGTATATAAATTACACATAAAGCAGATTTCTAATTTCTTTAATAATTAGGCCTATTTATTACACTTTCAGTTAATTAAGCTGTATTAGAATGAACCCCGATGTTTAGGGGAGACTACTTAATACTCACCCCACCCGATTTGGCACGCATTTATATAAAAATACTTACGCTTTCCAAGGAATTTATCTTTAGTATTGAATCTGGATGTAAGAAAAACATTTACTGTTTATTACAATTGAGAAAAAAAATCAAGTCTACTAATGATATTACGTCAGTTATGTTTCTAATACAAAGTGGATTGCAGTGGGGGGGGGGACGACACTGTAAAAGTAAATATTTTCTATATAAATTCAATTTCGTTCGAAGGGGGGGAGGCGGTAGACTTTCTTCGGGGGAGGGGGGCGAGTTCCCCCAAGGAGATACCTGGAAGAAACTCTGGTGGACTGCATTAAGTTCTTCACTAACGATGGGTCAGCATCGTATAGGACATATGATATCAAGCCTTTTGACTATTTGAATAACATATGGGTTTGTATATAGTACGTTCTTAATTCCATGCATCTTCTACTTATTTAATTCGTTTAATGATCACCTACCAACGTGGATTATAAATTATTCGGGATTATACTATGCGCATGATGCAAGTACTATATAACACGGACATGTGTTAATTTAATCACAATAGCAAATGTTACATAATTCAGTATTTTCTTATACCACAATTCTTTACAGTATTTATTATATCTAGGAAATACCCCCCTCCCCCAGTCACCTGACACAACCGACACATTTCTGTATTACTTACACTGTGATTCTAAATATCAATAAGTGATACATATTTATTTAGCTGTTTGTCTTTAAGAATGCAACTCTTTTCATTAAAACCTCTCCAAAGTTACTTGTTACATAAGAAAGAGTAACGAAATTCATCGGGCTTGTTTTCTTACGGTCCTGTATACCACCACATCTAATAATATCGCACATCGTAATATAATCAGTGTTTCTTCCAAGCATCTCTTCGGGGGAAGGGCTACGTGAAGTTTCGTCCACCCAACTTATACGGTACTCAAGTTATTTTTATCATGAGAAACCGGTAGTTGAGTAACGAAATGTAATGTATATAGAATATATTTACTTTTAACAGTGACCGCCCCCCCCCCCTCCCCGGAAATTTCAAGTGCCCCCCCCCCCTCTCGGTCCCTCTCGATCCCATAGCTGATACACTGTCAGAGTGTATTCCAGGCATATCTTCGGAAGTCTAGGACCCCCCCCCCCCCCCCGAACGAAATGGAATTTATATAGAAAAAATACTTTTTTAACAGTGTCCGCCCTTTCCCACCACCCCACGTAAATTTTAGTCCGGAAATTTCCACCGGAGAAAAAAGTCTGGATGATACACTGTCCACTTTACCTTTTGGTAAGCGAAAATGTAAAAAAAGTATCGTCCCGAGCAAGAGGAATCCACACATCAGACAGGAAGTCATGAGACATTTGAATTTAGCCATTCGGCGTCTCGCCATTCTCCAAGCCATGCCGGAAAATTTCCTAAACAAATAATTAAACATTTGATTTACATTATTTCTTAAAACAAACAGTACATGTTAAAAACAGCCAAGCTTCCGTTATATTTATATAAGCCCTGCTATGGGTGGGGGATCTCTAAATCTACCCTTCTAGGCTTATCTAACTAACTACTGTCCGGTCAGTGCAAGCCCGGCTAAACCCAGACTGGTTAATAACCTAACCAGAGTTTCTTCCAGGCATCTCTTCGGGGGGGTCGAAGCCCCCCCGAAAATTTTTTACCGCCCCCCCGAACGAAAGGAAATTTATATAATTTATATAGAAAAAATATACTTTTAACAGTGTCCGCCCCCCCGAAGAAAGTTTACCGCCCCCCCGAAGATTTCAAGTGCCCCCCCGGAGAAAAAAGTCTGGAAGAAACACTGAACCTAACCTTAGTCTAAATAAAAAACTACTAAAATAAAACAAAAACGTTAACAATTAATAAAATTTATTTACGAAAAATATTGAACCAATGAAAACCCACAAAAAAAAGAATAGATAAAAACTTAAGAAACTGGACGGGACAAAACAATATATACAAAACAATTTAACGTAACAAAACATTGCGTTCGACTATTTGATGGTGCTGCACCGACTTATGATGGCTAGGATGGTCCAGGCCCTGACACACGGAAACCTCCCTTCATCCATTCTCGACATCCAAAAGTCCACACCAAACAAAACACTACGTAAAACCACTACGTACAATACCTTACGTACAATACATTACGTAGAAAACAATACGTACACAACAAACTTTTTACACCAAACAAAACACCCAGCCAAGTCGCACAAGCAACCTCACTGGAAGGGGGGGGGGGAGAGAAAAAGAAAAGGAAAACATAAGAAAAATGCATGGTAATGGCAGATATATACATAAATATATACACAAGTTCAAAATGCTACCTACTACTACTATCTACCTAAAGCCTCGAGTAAAACTAATCCCTACTATTACAATTCTAAAGCAATTCTCAAAAACACAACTAACCACTGTCTAACCAAGAACTAGCAACTTAAAAATAACGTGTAAAACAAATTCAGTGTAGAACCAATCTTTCCTACACAAGGAGCAGCCCGAAGCCATTGGTCTACCTAAACAACATCCATATTGATAACATTAAAGTTAACACACTCCGCTAGGGCCCCAATGAAGGCAGACACCAAGCAAGCGATACTCAACATGACGTTGCACGAAACAGCACACACATTAATTTTAAACAACCTAAAACTCAAGGCAACTAAAATATACTCATTAATGTCTAAAACAACCGACTATTGACTGAGCCAATCCTAGTTATCGTGGGGAACCCACAATAACAACACATCATAATAAAGCAAAACAAGTAAATGCACACACGCATTCGCAGCAGTTTAGGAAACATTCCTAAACACACTGACCTAAACCACGTGGTCCGAAAACACACGCCAAGGGTTTAGAAAATACAAAAATACATTTTTAAATCTTTCAGAATAACACACACCACGTGCATACCAGACATGCCGATGCCCACTATCTCGTTTTAGACGAAAATGAAAGAAAACGAGAAACATCGGCAGTCGCATTCATACAAATCACATAAAGATAAAGTATAAAAAAAACAAATACCTCCACGCGTGAGGTGCGCCACGCGCCCACACAGAAACCGACCCTGTCTAGATCTTGCCTCGGGTCAAAAGAAAGAAAATCATCCGAGCGGTCAATTTATACTGACCGCTTCGGGCGGAAGGGGGAACCCCGTGGCCGTTCCCCATTGGACCACCATGCACTCACAGATTCGCCCCAAATAAAATAATACAAAATAAATAATCCATTCACCCGCTCACATTTATAAAATATTTTATAGTTTTCTGAAATAATAGTTTATACATGTTAAACTCATCATGAACTCCCAATATGCAACATATACAAAATTTCAAGTCTATAGTGTACGTATGGTTGGAAAGTAATGTATTTGCATTCAATTCTGACAGAAAAGTTTTGTGGCGGTAAGTAAATTAATTATTTTTAAAAGTTAAATGTAAGACCTAGCAAGCCTAGCCCCAGGGGACATTACTCCTACTGGACGATTTGGTAAACAGAGTAAACAAACGCTTATCAGTAAGTTCGACTTTACACTTTACTTAAGCATATTGCAACTAGATCTAGATCTAATAATTGTAATAGTTATAGATCTCAATCTACCTGATCCTAAATCTGTTCTTTATACTTCCTTAACTATACTGATCCCTCTAAATAAAAAATGACAGTGATTAGATTTAGTGCGTGTTTGTAGTTTGTAGAGATCTGATTTTGTAAGACGTAAGTACTTAGTACTATTACTAAGTAGCAGTGGCGTAGCCAGGATAGTCTCAAGGGGGGGGCGGTTCCAATTTTTACCCGGGGACAAGCTTTCGATTTGCGCCCCCCCCCCCCTCAGATTTTTGATATGCACCCACCCACCCCCATCCAACTTTCGATTTGCACCCCCCCTCATACTTTATATATATATACCCAGGGGTCTATGGGGGGGGTTATGACCCCCTCTAACCCCCCCCCCCCTGCCTACGCCACTGCTAAGTAGTAGTGACTACGACTAGTCTAAGTGTAGACTACTGAGGATGTTAATGTAGTTCAGTTGAGCGTAGTTACTGAAGTAGAGAGTGAATGCAACATTGTGAGTGTATGATAATTAATAAATAATTATAATTCTAGATCCAGTGAGTAGGTCTCTGAGTCTATAATCTATAATAGTAAGCTAATGCCTACTACTCTAGTTAGTAGCAGACTTTTTAAATCTTTAGCAGTCAACTAAACTTTAAATCTACTTCTTAAATCAAATCTAGATAGGTTCGCAGTAGCAACAAATGTCAACATTTTAATTTTATTTATATTATTATTTATAATTATTGCCTACTAAATAACTAAATAATTCTAGATCTAGATTTCTCTAGACAAGTTACTAACTAAATTTAGCACTGTTTTTAACTAGCTAGATCTAGAAAAAAATATAATATAGACTATATCTATTTTTCAGAATACCTGAATTAAATCTAGTAAACACAGAAGAAAGTACCCTACACATGTTCCAGGCAACCTTAACTAAGGCTATCAACAAAACATTGGAAATCAAAATGGGTTTTAGAATGAAGATTTCATCTGTGATTCTCAGTCTGCAATTTGTGAATTACAATATTTGATGCAAGAAAAAAAATTAAATTCCCTGAAATTATGGGACAAATATTACGTTAAATAAAGTGCCTTTATCTGTAAATACTTAATAAATTATTAATTTATTTAATAAAAATTGAACTTGTCCTAATCTTTGAATTTGTTTATTGATTGTAATTGTTAATGTGAGAGTTGTAAAGTTCCTTTTTCTAGCCTGTTGGTTCATGGATCAGACTGCAAAGAGTTCACCTGTTTCTGTGACTTTGGCATATGAAGCCATGATGTGGTCAGCACTACCGCCAATGCCTTTATCTTCACTAATGTGAGTTAGGTACCCCTCATTGCTGGGTGCACTCAGGGACTTTTTACTGACTTAAACCTCAATTTAATTTGATACTTTTGGGTTAGCAGTCTAGCGCCAGTGTGTTTTGCTTCATATAAAATGTGCAAGTTAAACACTGTTTAGTTTCCTCAATCACTACAGCTTTTCAAAATTATTGAACTAACACACACACAAAGAACAACACTCAATACAAATAAAATAAATGTTAATGCTTGATAAAAGGATTTATTTAGGATATATCAATATGTATTTTTACAATGACATACAAATATTAAATTGGGATTCATTGGTCAAGCATTAGAGCACACAATTGCTAATCCAGAGAAGTGGTTTGAGGGCTTGAGTACATTAAGGGTAACTGGCTTGAGACACTGACTTTAAGTGTTAACCACACAACTGTTTTATTAGCCTAAGTCAAAGAAACATGACATTATTATTACAAGTGGAACATGCTTCAACTGTGGAACAGAGGCGTAGCGAGGGGGGGGGGGGGCGGGGGGGGGGACATATGTCCCCGGGCGCCGACCTTAGGGGGGGCGCCAAATTGAAAGTTTGAGGGGGGGGGGTGCAAATGAAAAGTTCGAGGGGGGGGGGTGCAAATGAAAAGTTCGAGGGGGGGGGTGCAAATCGAAAATTTGTTCCCGAGGGGGGCGCCAAATTGAAAGTATGTCCCCGGGCGCCGGGAAGGGTCGCTACGCCTCTGCTGTGGAATAATACTTTCATTAACAGTAAAAATAAATATTAAATAGTGTACACAGACACTAAAAATACATGCTTACTGTAAAGCAAAAGAAATTATTCTAAAACAATGTAATATACATTAGGCCTATTTAGTCATATCTGTTTATTCTGAGTGATATATTCAGAATACTGTAATTATAGCGTATTTAATTTCTACTAAGTAGGGCCTAAGCCTTGTACAACAGTATGAATATCTAGAATCTAGCTATATAGATTAATTGAAGTTGCTGATTTTTTTTTTTAAATCTTGGAATTAAATTTTCAATGTTAAATTAAAAGCTCAATGACAGTAACACAAAGCAAAGCCAAACAAAGCTTATTATCATTAAACTAATTAGGCCCTAATGTTAGCAATTATTAGATTAATCCAATTTTTAGGCCCACTTTGGGCTTAAATCAACTTTGGAATTTCTAGAGCTACTACTAGATATAGAATTTTTATCTCGTAATACTGGTACACTATAACTTGTCTATATATATAACTATAACTATCTGTACGAGGACTAACTACTAAGCAGACGACTAATTAGTAATTACAGTTATTAGGTCTGGCCTACTGTCACTGTGTAATATCTAGTTTATCTACATCTAGATCTAGTACTAAAAGAAAAAGTACTAGGAAAAGGAATTATTTTTAAAAATATGGCATTGATTTAAAATAGGGGCCTATTTATTAAAATGAATAAAGGCAAAGTCTTTATTACTAAATAGGCCTAAATTTAATTAGGGCTATTTATTAACTATAATAATATGATTAATACATAGGGCCTAATTACTAATTTAATCAGGCCTAAACTTTCTAAGCAAAAGAAAGTCTGTAGAAAAATGTATGGGCCTAAATTCAAAAGTTAAGACTAAAGGCCAAAGGTTTCTGTTTTACAAAATGTTTGTAGATCTGTAATAGTAATAGACTTGTCACTAGTGACCGAAGTACAGTACTAGTCTAGCCAATTGTAAATCTAGCTAATTATTCTATTATTACTAAATCTAGCTTAAATACTAGGTAGCTATTAAGTACTAAACTAATACTAACACCCAGTGGCGTAGCGAGGTCGGGTGTCACCCGGTGCGGCACTCAATGGTGTCACCCCCCCCCCCCAGAGGCATAGAGACCTTTCCCAGGGACAAACTTTCAAATTTTCGATTTGCAACCCCCCCCCCCCCCCGCTGCCTCAAACTTTCGATTTGCACCCCCCCTCGAGTTTTTCTCTATATATTTTGCTATTTTTTGCCTTGGTGTCACCCCCCTAAATGGTGTCACCCGGTGCGGTCCGCAACCACCCGCCCCCCCCCCCCCCCCCTCGCTACGCCCCTGCTAACACCTATTATATTAATAAAAGTATTCATATAGGCTAGTTCACTATAAAAGAAAATACTCTATAGTCTATATATATATATAGGCCTTTGTACTTAATACTAGATCTATGCTAGTTCACTATAAAAGAAAATACTCTATAGTCTATATTCTATATATATATAGGCCTTTGTACTTAATACTAGATCTATATACTAGATTTCTATATAGATCTAGATCTAGATCTAGTAGGCCTATTATAATATTATATAAACCTAGATCTAGGTCTAACTAAAATTAGGCATAGATCAGAGATCTAGATCTAAAATCTAAATGAAATACTTAGGCCCTAGATCTAGTAAATAATAATATAATACTATTTGACGATTTGTTATAATTATTTTAAAATGTTAATATAACTTCTGTTTAGGCCTATAACTTAGAGTCTAAGTCTTAGACTTATAACCTAGGCCTAATTAAATTAGTACTTAGTACTAAACTAGTACACTAAAGTAGAATCTAATTACTAAAGTTCTTTAATCTTTAATTCTTTAGACTTGGTCGCTTGACTTTACAACTTCTTCTTTACTCTTCTAATAAAATCTTTAGTTTTAGACAAAATCATTACGGTCCCTAATCTACCTCTCTAACTAAAAGTTAAAATAAAACTAAATCTAACAACATTCTAACTCTAGGCCTAGCAACGGATTCTAACGAGTCGGTTGTATTCTAAATCTATAGGGT